GGCCGCGCAGCCGCGGGCCCGGCCGCCATTTCCCCCCTCCCCGCCGCAGGGGGAGCTGCCTAGGCCTTGCCGAGGTGGCCCTCAAGGGACGGGACTTCACTGGTGTGAAGTCACAGGTTTGTATGAAATGCGCCTTTGTGCTAGCGAAACTGTTTTTTCTTCCTTTATGAGTGAGCTAGCAGGTGCAGAGCTTTGTGCTGGGTTCTAGAAGTTGTGTTTTAAAGCAAATGTGTTAATGACAGACTACCTGAAGCCTATTGCTGAAGAAGAGAGAAGAGTAGAAGCTGAAGAGAAAAAGAAGCGTGAAGAGCTTGAGCGGATTGCAAAAGAGCTTGCAGAAGGTAGTCCCTCGATTTAATTTATGCATCCTGTCACTAAGTGCACACACTGGCTTGCAGGTGGACTGCAGTTTACTGCAGTTTTACTGCAGTGTTTTTAGGAGAACTTTAGGCTTGTAGCCAGTGGGCTGCAGACCCATGTGGATTCATGGAGCAGTGGTTAGGGTTATGTGATGGGTAAATAGCGCTGCTGTTTGACAAGCTCTTCAAAATGTAAGCATCCATACAGGAAGAGTTAAAAACACTTTTGCAGCCAAACGGGGCTTGTTAAATGGCTATCTGAATTTCCACTGAGAAAACAAACTGCTAAATGCTGCTGACTATTCTGTGAGGAATAACGGGAACCGTGTATTAACTGTACTCAGATGTACCTTATTCAGCTGGACACAGCAAACCTATAATCTCTTTTCTCTGTGTAATACAGAAATCTCACAAATGTGACTGATGATCTCGGCCATAAGTCGTAGGCAGCTGCTTGTAATTGCAACTCAAACTTTTAAGTGGTATCACTGGCGTAGTGGTAGAGGTCAACTTCATTTGTTGTACCTCTCGCGTGAAGAGAATTATGCTGAAGGTGATCAATTGAGATTAGGACTGCTGCTTTTTTCTCATTCCCTTCCACCCTGCAGTATTCCTGCCGCAACATGCTTTCCCTTGTCCTTAGGATTATTTCTTGGGTCCCCTGTGCATTTCTAGCAGAGGATTCCTCCCCCCACCTTACAGAAGAGTGTGCTCTTTAGCTTGAATTCACTTACGTTTTTTTAGGTGGACTTCCAATTAAAAAGAACTTTAAGAAAATGGATTAATAACTCAAGCTGTTCTTGGTGCAGCTACACACTTAGTAACTATTTCCCTGGGAAATAGTACATTTGCATTGTCCTAAACAAGACTGATGTTGAACAAAACCCTGTAAAAATTAAATGAACTACACATATATAAAAACAAATATGCAAGTTGGTGAATTATATCGCTTACTAGAGATAAAGCTATTTTGCACAGCTGTTTACCATCTTAAATATATAGTCTCCATTGGTCATGGACTAAATAAATGGATCTTTTAGATGTTTTCTAGTTTAGCTGAAACTTCTTGTGTTTTTGGAGATAGAGGCTGTACTGTGGTGTTGCTACTCCACTTAATAATGGAATTCTGTGATTATTTCTTTAGAATGTTCAATCTGTTTAAAAGTGGCACACAGGTGACTGGTCTGCTTTCCCAACAGTGGTTTTGGTGTGGTTTTCCAGTTAGAAAAGCAATTGTTAAGACGTCATTCAGTGCAATGCAGTTGTTGCAGATTGTTCTTTAAAGATGGATAACTGGATGTATCTGTAATGATAGCTTTTTCTGGGCTTATTTGAATTGTCAGTTCAGAAAACTGCCATTTACTAATGAGTAAGCAAAAAAAGTGCCTTTACCCCAAAGCAATGAATACAGTTCTGTTGAATAAGAAGAAGCGAGAATCATAAAAGCTGGCTAGAAAGAAATGGCATACTTAAAGGTAGCCTTTGATCCCATTAGTGCTTTGCATATTTTAGTACTGCATGGGAGTGACTAGTAGTCCTAACTATGTTTGTTTTTTCTTCCCTTGTAGCAAGTGAAGAGTCCATATTGAAATGAACAAAAGATTGGATCTTAATTTCACATATGGAAATACATGGCTGGGCTCTGAACTGTTTGGTGGTTGGTGGACTCTGCATGCTATTCTATCAATAAAGTATTTACAACACTTCAGTTGGTATTTTTTTGAGTGAATTGCACAGAACAGCAGCAGAAGTACTTACAGAATGTGACGGGGAGCGTTTGGCTCAAGCTGGCCATTGCTGCAGCTGAAACACCCCGTTGTATTCCTCCAGCAACAGCCGGTCACTACACCTATTACTCATAGGTAATGTTTGTGATCAGAAAATACATACAATTGCATATATATGGGCAGGTGGGGGAGGCTGGCATGGCACTGGCTGCCTGAACCTATTTATTAAATGGCTGTGCCCAGGAGTTGCTGTCATCTTTTCTCAGCTTTGTTACCACAGTGGATTATTGCACAATTCTTGCATTTGACAGTGCAGTCAAATTTGGTGACTTGTCAAGCCATGCTGAGATCTGAGGAATTAGTGCTGACTTGCTAGTCAGATGTTTCTAAGCACATACCTTTTCAGATTTAACAAATGGTCAAATGTTATTCCCCAAAACTAAGAACAAGTTACAGTCAAACTGTAGTCTGTCTCTTTTACAAGAAGTGGCTGGCCATGCAGGTGACTGATGTTTAAAAAATTACTGGCTTTTAATGTGAAGTTAAGTCTGCTTTTAGCATGTAAGCTGCTAAGGCATTTCCTCAGCTGTACAGACCTCAGATGTCCCAGAGGAAGGTAAAAAGCCTATGCCTGTAGACTGCGGTGTTGAGTGGCTCGTTCTCTGTTCTTGTTTCTCTCACTGTAAATAATACTAGTAACACTCAAAGATTCAGTGGGTCTGGCTTCTTATTTGGACAATAGCTAGCTTCCTTTTTCTGACCTTGCAGTTTAGACAGCTGAAGCAGTGATTTCAGATCTAAATCTTTCTAAGTGATAGCAGTCTTTCAGGAAACATGGTCATATGTTTTATTAAACTAATTGCTCTTAATAAATACAGTCTCTTCTAGATTATGCTTTGGAGGAAATAAATCCATAACTACCAGGGCATGTTCTCAACTAATAAAAGAAAGCAGTCCTATGGAGTACAGGGAAATGAAACATAAAATTGGATTTGAATTGGAAGTGTAACATACCTAATAACTGCAGGGGAAAGGGATTAAGATGGGATATTTTCAAGGAGAAACAGGGAACAGGAAAATCAGCGACGCATCATGACTGGGTTTTTAGTTATTTCTTGGCTTGAGTGTGTACCTCATGGTATTGAAATGATTAGGTGATGCCAATGAAAGTAAAGATCTAGACTACCAATTAGTTTAAAAATCTATTTCTGTAAAATAAAAATAATACATTATATCCTGACCTCTCAGGATAACAGGATGTGTTGCATGCTTAAAAGCCAATATTCTTCCAAAAGCCTCTTATTTTCAGGAGCGGTAAATTAGATCTGAATTTCCAGAAAACAACTTTTTTTTTTTTTTTTTAAAGCACTGGTGAGCAGTCCATGTCTGTGGTGCTAGTCTGTAAGCTGTCAAATGGTGGTTATGTGAAGTAAGTGCTACTGAAAAAACACTGAAACTCAACACTTGGGATTCAGCTGTGACTCAGTGCTTGAGCAAAATGTGATTATAACAGGATGCTTATTTACTTCAAGCTGAAATATCTTTACTGCTGCTCTGTTAAGGGCTGGCCGTAGAGGTAGGTACTGCTTTTATCTTTGGGTTGCTGGAGCTGAACCCACTTGCTAGAAGAGCTGTGGCCTGCTGCTTTCTGGAGAGCTAAATGTGTTCACTTTCACCTGCTCCTACTGTCCCACCTTGTTAAAGTGGAGCGTGCCAGAGAAGGGGGAGTTTCATCCCTCCCTTCCTTTTACTTCCGCCGTGGTGTTTGTTTATGCCAGCACTGATTTAGCCCTCGCTGAGGGCAGCGTGGCTGCTCCCCGCAGAGCTGAGCCTGTCCTTCCTGGTGAGTGAATGCAGTGTGTTTCACAGAGCAGGATCCCAGCCCATGCAGGGATCTCTCTGAATAGAGGACGCTTAATGCAGTGGCCATACACAGGGGTTTCTGCAGCACTAGCCACCTGGAGTTTTGTTGTCTTGCCTAACTCTAGGACCACAAATGACTCAGTCTGCTCTCTCCTGTTGCCTTTTGCATCGTGCCTTCGTTATCCTCCTTCCCCTGGAAGTTGTCCTGCATTTGGGGCCCGTGTCTCTCTTGTAACCTAGCTGATAAATGCTGGGATGGGTTCTAAATGTGAAAGGGATGGGATTCTTCCTTTGCAGCCAAGGATGTCTGTCAGATCTGTAGGGAGTAGGTATGAGAATCCCCCACACAGGATGATGCAGGAGTGCCACCCTTTCCATACAGTCCTCAAAACTTGGCTGCAGGGCCAGGCAAGAAAGCTGTCCTTGTAATACCTCATATTGGGATGAATTCCCATATGGGTGGGAAAGGTGCCACAAGCCTCACTACAGCCATCCCACAGTGACCAGATTACTCCTCTGCCACCCCATTCTGGCCAGGCAATAGATGATTATCAGGTTTGAGCCAAAAAAAGGCCAATGCTAAACAGCTATAGTAAGTTTACCGCTATTTGCAGCAAGACTTAAGGTACCTGTGAACACTACTACATCTTACAGCATCACCTAGGAAAGTTAACATGCAAAAGGACTGAAACGGATGAGTAAATTTTTTATTTTTTTTTTTAAGAGAAGCCCAAGGGATGAACTAATTGTTGTCTTCAACTGAGGGAGATTCTGGGAAAGACAGCCTCATACCCAGAGGTGCACAGCAAAAGGACTGGATGCAGCAGACACGGGTTGCAGCAAGTATGGAGAAAATTCTGACAATGTGGGTGGTCAGACTTTTAACAAGAGTCCAGAAATAACTTTTTTTCTTTGATTCTGTGATTTCTTGGTTACTCCATTTCATATACATGTCCTGTGAATAGGATTCATACAGGTGTTTGGATCCAAGGCTTCATTTTTTCATTGATAAAACACATGGAAGAGAGAGGCAAGCCCATGGATAGTAAAGGTAATCCATCTGACTCCGTGCACAAGCAGTTTTGGAAGCAGTCATCCAAAGGTGCAGAAGGAAAGAGTTTGGCTTTGCATCTGCGGCAGACTAAGACCACTTACGTGGTTGGGTACTGTTGCTGAACGGTGGTTTCCTGGGTGGTGCATGATCAGGCTGCTTGCAGTTGAGGGAATTCAATCCCAGTCTTCAGTCCCTCCAATCCTGAGAAAGCTGATGGAATTGTCTCTAGAGGAAGGGGGGAACGTGAGAATGGACTGCAGACACATCTAAAGACTGCTGCAGAAAGGATGGGCATAAATTCTTTTCCAGACTGCTCGAGATAAGAGAAAAAATGGGGTGGATGTGTTAAATAAGCCTTTGATAAGTATCTGCTGTCACTGAGAAATAAGTGAGGTCAATTCTTGGCCACATGACTGCACATGAACTAATATGCAAAGGAACTAACAAGCCAAATATTTGTCTGCAAACGTGATGAAAGTTGTGGTTTAACCCCAGCCTGCAACTAAGCACCACACAGACGCTCGCTCACTCCCTCCAAGTGGGATGGGGGAGAGAATCAGAAAGGTAAAAGTGAGAAAACTCTTGGGTTGAGATAAAGACAGTTTCATAGGTAAAGCAAAAGCTGCGCACGCAAGCAAAGCAAAACAAGGAATTCATCCACTACTTCCCATCGGCAGGCAGGTGTTCAGCCATCTCCAGGAAAGCAGGGCTCCGTCACACGTAACAGTTACTTGGGAAGACAAACACCATCACTCCGAACGTCCCCCCCTTCCTGCTTCTTCCCCCAGCTTTATATGCTGAGCATGACGTCCCATGGTATGGAATATCCCTTTGGTCAGTTGGGGTCAGCTGTCCCAGCTGTGTCCCCTCCCAACTTCTTGTGCACCCCCAGCCTACTCGCTGGTGGGGTGGTGGGAGAAGCAGAAAAGGCCTTGACTCTGTGTCAGCACTGCTCAGCAGTAACTAAAACATCCCTGTGTTACCACCACTGTTTCCAGCAGAAATCCAAAACAGCCCCGTACTAGCTATTATGAAGAAAATTAATTCTATCCCAGCCAAAACCAGCACAGTTGTGTTTGGCAATGGATTTTGAGATAACTGGAGAAAGAGCTGTGTCATTTGAGCCTGAGGCTATTGCAACCCCCAGCAGCAAGTAACAGCAACCACAACTTGTTGAAAGGTGCAGAGGAGAAAGGAAAGACAGCATCCGACCCCAGGTGGCATTACACAAGTGTAAGGTGCCAAGGGATGAAGAAAGCAGGGAGGAGAGGAGGCAGATAGCTCTGTCAAAAGGCAACTTTTTCTTGGAAAGAGGTAAAAACCAAAGCAGAAAGTCAACCTGAGACCAGTTGTCTGAGAATGGAAAGATGAGGAAGGAAGCAATAAGAAAATGCCTTTCCTTTCACAGGATATGAGAGAGAAGATCTCCCATGTTTGCTTTGTAGTCTGGAAAACACTGCAGCCACCTTTTCTTCTGCTGGAACTAGGTTTGTCTGACTCCTCAGTGCTCTGCTGCTGCTTGCGAAGGAGTTTCTCTCTAATGAATGTTTTTTCTAATCTTCCCCATAACCCACCTTAAGGTTTTGTGGAAGGACTAGAGGAAGAGGTACAGAGAAAAAAGACTTTTCTCTTGTAAGCATTTGTGATAGATGATGCAGCCACATTCAGCCCAGAGAGCAATAAAATCTTGCTTGGATCCAGTACTCTCTGGGCTCTCACAGAGGTTTTCTTACACAGGATCTGGAGTTGCTGGAAGGACAAAGCCACTCTGCTGAGTGCCAAGACATGCAACACATCTGCCTGGGGGGTGGAGCTGGGATCCGTACCCTACCTGTGGCGTTCAGTACCATCTCTTTCTTTGAAGAGCTGAGTGGAGGTTGGGTTATTCTTGTCCTGCCTCCCTGGGAGGGGAGCAGCACTTCCCAACCTTAGCTGGAGTCAGACCGTGGCCAGCTGGTAAAAGACAGTGAGCACTTCCCCCAGATCCGCAAGAGGTGGCTGAAGACAGGACCACGGTCTCCAGTCTCCCTAGCAGTTTTTCCCTCCCTCTCTGCAGGAACTGCC